CCTCCCGCCTGGCTCGGCCCGGGCCGCCGCAGGGCTGCGGGCGCGGTGTGGGTGGGCGGGTGTGCAGTGTTCCCGAGAGCCGGGCTGCCGGCGGGCCAGGGGACGGTGGGCGCGGACGGGGCAGGGACAGGTGCCTGTCACCTGTGGGGGAGCTGGGGACGGAGGGGAGGGCGTGCATTCTCCGCCTGGAGCCTGCCCCCGACCCCTTTCTCTGAAGACGCTGGCAGAGGCGGCTGTCCTAACAGGATCTGCCAGAGAATAGCGGAAGCAGAACCGGAAACAGCTGTAGTACATGTGGGAAACAACACAGACTAGATGTAAACACTTCCGGGTTCTGCGAATGCGGGGACGGGAGCAGTGGAGACCACTGCTTTAGAAGATGAAGGGGCCTCTAGGAGAAAGGTTTGGAAAGGTGACGCAGACTCGGTCAGATGGAAAGCCGCCGGGGAGTGAGCTTTATTTATCGATTTGGAATAGCAACAGGAATGCAATTTTAAGCTTAAAAGAGGTCATGGGGGGACGCCGAACAATTCATTGTTGGAGTGATAAACTTACAGAATTTGAGGGGAGGGGGAACGCAAGTTCACAGAATGGTTTGGGAGAAAAAATACGGCGTGTGCATCCACAATTTACTACGGGTGGCCAAGATTTAGTGCTCTAACACCCTGGACATGTCTTCTAGCTTGCGCATTCTCATTGTAGGCCCTTCTTAATCTGGATGATTTTTCTGTGCATTCTTTTGAGGAAGGGGGGGTGCGGGAGAAGAATTCAGCCACGTTTCAAAATCTTAAATTACATCTCCTTAAGCTGCATATAGAATGAGCTTTTTAAATTAAAATGGCTTTATAAAAGGAGTTTGTTAGGGGTGTCACACCGTTGAATGATTACAGCAATAACATTCTGCCATGGATATACCATGATTTAATTTAACCATTCTTGTTTTATTGAGCCTTTTGGTTGGAGGACAATAGCATTTTTAAATTTAATCAGTATTTTAAATATTAAAGTTTAGGGCATTAAAGTTTCTTTAGTTTTATTTGTTTGGTATGATCTTATAAATCTGTCCTTACTTGAGCTCTACTTACATTCTGTCTTCTAGGTTCTTCAGGGGCACGATAAAGCCCACACCATGGTAGCACTAATGAATGTTTATCGAGAGGAAGATGAAGCATACCAGGAATTAGTTACTGGGGCAACTATGTTCTTCCAGTATTTGCTGAAGCCATTTAGGGATATGAGAGAAGTTGGAACTTTATGTAAGCTTGGTATTTTGGTATGTTTTCTTTATATTTTTTATTTTATCAAATTTACTATTTGTCACATATTATTTCTTTAGTCCCATTTAAGATTTGGTCTGTGTTTGCACCTTGGGTTCACCCTTCTGTTTGGATGGTAGGATATATATATACTGAATTTATTTTTTAAAAACTAATTTTAAAATGAAGGCATTTTACATTGGGCATCTCTGAATACATTAAGATTTCTGCAGCTTTCCAAGGGTTAAACACGTTCTTTGCTGATGACTTGTTTTTGATGTGATGCTTATTTACTTTAGCCTATTTTCAGCCTCTAAGGACATATGCAGATTTCTAAGAAACAGGATGAAAATATAAATAGCAAGGCCCTGGATCATAATTCAGTAATTTAAGCTTTAGTAAATGTTGCCGTCGCTCTTATTTCCTTGAGCTATGGAACAACCCAGTGACCCTAGTTAGAATAGGCATTCTCCTGTCAGTGTTACAAAGGAACCTAGAGCCCAGAGAGGTTAAATAGCTTCCCTGGGTCTCAACCAGCTGGAATCAGAAGACATTAGAGAGATCTCTTGATTTCTGCCCCCCTGCACTGGGCCAGCCTTCCACACAGGTACTCATGGTCCCTGCCAAGCTATCGTACTGTAGAAATTGTATCCTGTTTGCCACTTAAATTTCCAGAGAAAGTTGTTCTGCTCGTTATTCTGAAAGTTTATTATTTGGATAGTCTTTTCTTCCTATGTATTTTTTTTCTTTAACAGCTTTACTGAGATATAATTCACAGACCATACCATTCGCCTGTTTAAGGCGTACAATTCAGTGGTTTTTAGTATATTCATTTGAGCAACTATCACCACTCTCTAGCTCCAGAATGTTTTCATCACCCCCAAAAGAAACCCCATTCCCCCTCCGACCCTAGGTGACCACCAGTTTACTTTCTGCTTCTGGGCATTTCATCTTGTATGGGATCAAACAAGATGTGGTCCTTTGTGTCTGGCTCTTTTCGTGTCGTATAACGTTTTCCAGGTCCATCCATGCTGCAGGGTGTACCACAACTTCCTTTCTTTCTATAGTCTTACAGTATTCACTATATGGATATCGCACATTTTACTTAACCACTTAGCAGCTGATGGACATTTGGGTTGTTTCATGGACATTTAGGTTGTTTTCACTTTTTGACTATTAGGAATAATGCTGCTGTGAACATCTGTGTACAAGTTTCTGTGTGGACATATGTTTTCATTTCTCTTGGATGTATATACCTAGCAGTGGAATTGCTGGGTCATGTGGTAACTATATTTAGCCCTTCCAAAGAACCGTGAGACTGTTTTCCAGTGCAAACGTGCCATTTTACGTTCCTACCAGCAGTAAATGAGGGTTCCGGTTTGTCCACATTGTTGTCAACACTTGTTATTGTCTGTCTTTTTGGTTTTAGCCATCCTAGTGGATGTGAAGTGGCGTCTTGTAGTTTTGATTTACATTATCCTGATGGCTAACCTGTAGGTATTTCTTATATTAATAGCTTTGTAGAAGAATTGGATGCTAAATGACTACTAGCATATGTTGTAATTATCAATGTATAGATTTTACTGTCTTTTAGGTTATTGTATTATTTTTGCCCTTCGGAGAATTACTGTATTGAAAAAGCTTCCTGCCACATCCCTAAAAGAAACTGTAGCAACAGCTAACATTTGAACGCTGTGTACCAGGCCCTGTGCTCAATGTTTAATGACACAGTTGTCCTTTAAACAATTGCGGGTTTTTTCTAAATTTTTTTATTTTTAACGTAATCTCTACACCCAACGTGGGGCTTGAACTCACAACCCCAAGATCAAGAGTCTCACACTCCACCAACTGAGCCAGCCGGGCGCCCCTAAACACTTACATATTAATAGAGAAACATAACTTGAGAGCATTCCTGTCTCGAAAATGTTATTCTAGTAATGCAAAGTGAAAGTAGGTTTTTATTTTTCGTCATGCCCCAGAGTATTCCTTTGTCTTCCAGGTGGTGCCTAGCTTAGAGCCTCATTCATACTCAGTAAGGAATTGCTGAATAAATGAAATTTAATTAACTAAGTAGTAGTAATAAAAGTAGTTGAGGGGCACCTGGGTGGCTCAGTCGGTTGGGCGTCTGCCTTCGGCTCAGGTCATGATCCCAGGGTCCTGGGATCAAGTCCCGCATCAGGCTCCCTGCTCAGCAGGGAGTCTGCTTCTCTCTCTGACCCTTCCCCCTCTTGTGCTCTCTCCTCTCTCTCTCTCAAATAAATAAAATCTTAAGAATAAAAGTAGTTGAGGGCGCCTGGGTGGCTCAGTTGGTTGGGCGACTGCCTTCGGCTCAGGTCATGATCCCGGAGTCCTGGGATCGAGTCCCGCATCGGGCTCCCGGCTCAGCGGGGAGCCTGCTTCTCCCTCTGACCCTATCCCCTCTCATGCTATTTCTCTCTCTCTCTCTCTCTCAAATAAATAAAAATAAAATCTTTAAAAAAAAAAAGAATAAAAGTAGTTGAAATAATCCATATAACCAATTTCCTTTCAATTTCCTGTGGCTCTGCATTACTATTCTCTCTTACTAATACAATTTTCCCTTCTTTTGTAGAAATCCTTGGATGAGGATGATTTGGGTCCTAAGAGGATAGTTGCCTTGCAGAAGGAAGCCAAAGAATGGACCAGACAGGCTGAAGAAGCTATAGTCTCTATTCAGGACATTACAGTGAATTATTTTAAAGAAACAGTAAAAGCGTTAGCAGGTAACAAAATTCTATACTAAGATGTGCGTCATTTTCATTTTATACAGCAAACATTTGAGTGCCTCTTGACTACGAGGCACTGTGTTTCCCAGGAGCTAGGGATTCAGTGTGAGGATAAGCATTAACAGACACTGTACAGTCTGGTGAGGGGAGAGAGATCTTATGTATTCCTTCAAACACATGAAAGATGGCAGTAGCAGCCGGCCACATGGAGAAGAGAAGTAGGGGGCTCTGAGAGCCACCGAGAGGCACGAGGCTCCTTCACTAGGTCAGTGAAAGCCTCTGGGGAGTGGGCCTGCCCGATCTCTGAAGGGTCAGTGGGAGCTGAGAGAGCATCAAAGTGAGGGAAGAGAGGGGTGCCTGAGTGGCTCAGTCATTAAGCATCTGCCTTCGGCTCAGGTCATGATCCCAGCGTCCTGGGATCGAGCCCCGCATCGGGCTCCCTGCTCTGCGGGAAGCCTGCTTCTCCCTCTCCCACTCCCTCTGCTTGTGTTCCCTCTTTTGCTGTGTCTCTGTCAAATAAATAAATAAAATCTTTAAAAAAAAAAAAAAAAGTGAGGGAAGAGTGTTCCAGGCAGAAGAAACGGCACTCACCAAGTTCTATGGCTGGAGGGAGCTTGGTGAGTGTGAGGAACTTAAGGAAGGCCTGGGGGCTGGAGACAGAAGGGGAAGGGGCACGAGGTGTGAGAGAATGCCGCAGACAGGCAGGTGTGAGTGGGACCGGCGAAGAACTTCTGTCTGATGGAGTAAGTCAGTCATGGTAGATGATGACCCCAAACAGGAAACCTAATGTCTGTCAGTTTGTTAAGTTCCATTCATAAAGTGAAACATCATGTGGCTATGAAGTGTGATTCTCTGTATCTGTTTTTATAAATGGTGAGAGTTCCACGATACAGTAAGTGAAATAAATAAGCTACAAAGAAGAATGATGATTTTGTGGGTTTTTTTTTTTTTTTAAGATTTTATTCATCTATTTGAGCGAGAGCACAAGCAGGGAGAGGGGCAGAGGGAGAAGCAGACTCCCTGCTGAGCAGGGAGTACAACGTGGAACTCAATACCCAGGACCCCGGGATTGTGACCCGAGCTGAAGGCAGACACTCAACCAACTGGGCCACCCAGGCGCCCCTTATGTGGTTTTTTGTTTATTTTTTGTTTTTGGTTCAAACTGTCTGTCTAGCTTGACGTAGAAACAGTCTCAATGTATATGCACCAAAATGTAAGAAACATCGCCTCAAGTAGATGAGATTCATGATTTATTATTATTTTTTTAAATGAAGTATCTAAAATTTTTTGTAAAGATTTTATTTTTAAGTATTCTCTACACCCAATGTGGGGCTCGAACTCACAACCCCAAGAGCAAGATTCCCACGCTCCACTGACTGAGCCAGCCAGGTTCCCCAAAGTATCTAAAATTTTTATACTGATGTCCATGTATTATTTTTGCGACAATAAAAAATCATTAAAATAAAACAGTTTTTCTTTTAGAAAGGATGTTTTGCAAGTAACGTGGAAGGCAGTAAACAAATAATCAGCTCGGGATAAATTTTTTCCCTTTTTAATGAGTTGTAATCATGTTTTATTAATTACAATCCAACAGGAATGCAGAAACAAATGGAACAGGACAAGAAGAGATTTGGCCAGGCTGCCTGGGCCACAGCAACTCCCAGGTTAGAAAAACTCAAGCTGATGGTAGCCCGAGAGACTCTGCAGCTCATGAGAGCCAGAGAGTTGTGTTTAAATCACAAAAGAGCTGAAATTCAGAGAAAGGTAAGACAAAGATAAATGAAACTTGGATGAAAAAAAAACCACACACACACTTTTAGGGCACGTGGGTAGCTCAGTGGGTTGAGTGTCTGATTCTTGATTTCGGCTCAGGTTGTGATCTCAGAGTCTTGGGATCAAGCCCCATGTCGGGCTCCATGCTGGTCATGGAGCCTGCTTAAGATTCCTTCTCCCTCTGCTTCCTACCCCCACCTCATGCACATGCATGTGCACACACACACGAGAGAGAGAGAGAGAAAGGGAGGGAAAACCCTACATTTGTAGGTAGCACCTTTCTTTTCAAGCACAGTTAAGAGACCTTTCTTGCTTTACTCATTCCAACATCTTTTACTAGCTGAGAATTTAGACTGTGGAAGGTTGGCCATAAAGCTTCCTTTTGGTCAAGATGCTTTTGAAACATTCTGTTGTAAGATGTTCCTGGTAATAACACTGAGCTCAGTACTGAAGTGGGTAATACACTTCAATCAATCAAGCAGTGTTTCAGCACAACTCGAGAGGTCCTTCATCCTAGGATCACAGCCACTTAAATTTCTTCCTGTAATGTTAAGAGTTTGAAGCAGGAAACACTGCAAATGCCTCACTGCCATTGATTTTTCTCTAAACCTAAATGTTTTCATATGTTTCAAGGGTAAGTTAAAGTATTTGTAACAAGCATTGAATAAGGCATTTTTGTTTTGTTACTTAAAATGGAAAAATGTTTCTTCTCTATCCGCTTTCTATTTGGTCCTAAGCAGAGAATAGAAAATTGTCCAAATGTATCTAACATTAGCTTTCAGTGTACTAATTATTTTAACTTGCTCTTACTTTTTTCATGAAAACAAGATGGAAGATCTTCCAGAACAAGAAAAAAATATAGATGTTGTAGATGAATTAGAAATACAGTATTATGAAGTCCAATTAGAACTGTATGAGGTTAAATTCGAGATATTAAAATATGAAGAAATACTGCTTATAACGCAGTTGGACTCAATTAAAAGGCTTATAAAAGGTAAGATTTATATTTAAATGTATATGTTAAAATGTCTAAATCACACCTTCAAGGAAATAGAGGCCACATTATTCTTATAAGTTGGTTAAAACATCTACTGAAATTTCCTCGTTTCCTTTTAGCATTTTTGTTATTCCAGTGATATATTCATAGTTAAACACACAACAAAACAAAGAAAGGAAAACGGTTATTCCCAGTTCCATCACCTACAGATATGGAGTGAGAACAGTGTGCTGGGGAGCCTCGTTTGTATACTGATGCACATAAGTAAATAATCAATTTTTAAACCAAAACTGTATATCCTGTCTAGTAACCTCATTTAATACATAATAACCACCTTTCCATTTAAGTAAGAAAAATATCAGACATTTTAATGGCTTCACAGTATTCGATTATACAGATATACCATGATTTTCAGTCTTTCACTATTGCAAACGACAGTGTGGTGAAGAACCTTCCTTTACACATCCTTGCGTGTAGGAGAGATTTTTGTTTTTTTTAATTTATTTATTTGAGCGAGAGCGTGAGAAAGAGCACAAGCAGGGGGAGTAGCAGGCAGAGGGAGAGGGAGAAGCAGACTCCCCACCGAGCAGGAAGCCTGATCCCAGGACCCTGGCATCATGACCTGAGCTGAAGGCAGACACTTAACCGACTGAACCAGCCAGGTGCCCAAGATTATTTACTTGGAATAAATTTCCAAAGGTGGAATCATTGGGTCACGGACAGTGCACACTTCGCATGTTCACACATACCTGCTAACGCTACAATAATCATCCGATGCACATTTTTTCCTCACCTCTGTTATCTTCTGATTTCCAAATTCCATACTACATAACGGCCTTCTAGACTGAGGTTGTGCAAAAAGACAGTCGCGGCAGATGATGACTGTTTCCCCACACTTACGCCATTCTTTTAAGTTCTTGCCTACTTGATTGAAAACAATGACATCCTCTACTTTTCACGTATTTAATCACAAGCATGGCAGGCACGATTTTGCATGTTTACTGGCCGTCTGTATTTCTTTTATTAACTGTCTATCCATGGTATTTGCCCATTTTTCTTTGGAATGTTCCCTTTCCATACTGAGGCTATTACTCTATTATCTGTCCTGGGTTGCAAAGAATTTCTCCCTGTCATTTGCTTTTTCTTGCCTTGCAGAAATACTTCATTTTTAGGAAGTCCCATCTGCTTTCTGTGTTTGTTGTTACACCTGGTGAAGTGCTCCTCATCCCCAAACTTATCAACATTTTACTGATGTTTTCTTTCAGTATGTTTGTGATTTAAAAAAAAACACAAAACACTTAGCTCTTTAATCCAGGTTAAATTAATTTTGATGTGAGGTAGGAATCTAACCTACCCCCCAAATTGCTAGGTAGTCCCAGTCACTGATTTTGAAAACATTTTCCCCAAGTGCTTTGACTGGCTTCCTATCTCATATCCAGAATTATTACATTTATTTTTATCTGATTATGCATTATTCTTTTCGCTAGTTCGTGAGTGGCTTCCAGTGCTGGTCCCATATGTTCTTATCATTGTACTTGAATGTACATTTTAGTGTCTGGACAAGTACCTCCCCCTCAGTACTCTGCTTTTCCTGAGGTTTTCTGACTCTTCTCACTCCTTTACTCTTCCAGACGAACTTTAGAATCATTTTGGCAAGTTCCAAACCAAAAAAAATCTGTTTGTTTTTTTGGTGAAAAAACAAAAAAAAACCCCCCAAAACCAGAACTCCTTGGAATTTTTATTGGGATTATGCTTAAAATTAGAGATTAATTTGGGGAATCATCTTTGCAATTTTGAATCTTCCCATCCAAGATCATGTATCCTTTTACTCAAGGCTTTTTTCCCCCCTCAGGTTCCTCCAAGCATAATGATTTTCTTCATACTGAATCTAAACATTTAATTTAATCCTAGGTATTCAAAAAACTTTACAGTAATTTCAGGTTATAAGTATTTTACATATTTAGGGGAAAATCCTATTTAAAAAGTTAATCCAGAAAGATGCATGCCAAATCGTTCATAATGTTCTCCTCCAGGAATGGGATTCCAAAGGTTTGGGAAAGGAAGAAGAAAATTCCACTTTCTATTTTATTCAGTTCTGTAGGGCTGGGATTTGTTACAAGCAGCATGTACTTTTAAAAATATGTATGTAATCAAGATTTAATATCTTTAAGGCATCTTAACACCACATTGTTGGTAGAATGTAGGTTGCCTTTCTGGAGGGCCACTGAATGCTGATTATCAAGAGCACTGACATTCATCTTCTAAAGAAGTAGTAAAAATGTACGCAGAGGGGCACCTGGGTGGCTCAGTCATTAAGCGACTGCCTTCGGCTCAGGTCATGATCCCAGGATCCTGGGATCGAGCCCCGCATCGGGCTCCCTGCTCAGCAGGAAGCCTGATTCTCCCTCTCCCACTCCCCCTGCTTGTGTTCCGTCTTTCACTGTGTCTCTCGCTGTCAAATAAATAAACAAAATCTTAAAAAAAAAAAAATGTACACAATTTTATGTTCAGATGTTCATCACCGTGAAATTGATAATAATGGAACCCTGGAATATTCTAACAATACAGAATGCTCAAATTAGATAATACTGAGTTGCCATTAAAATTCTATTTCCAGCACATGGAAAATGTCTTCTTAGTCTGTGTTACTGATAATGTGTGGCTGTGTGTACGTGTACACACACGTTAATTGTGGCTCTCCCTGGGTGGTAGGGTTACAAGTCATCTTTCTTACATTTAAGGTATTTTTATGTGTTATTTTTTTTATACCCAACCATGTTTTAAGAATGTCATCAATATGTTTCTAGATAAAGAGGAGGAAGTTGTCTATTACGACCCGTGTGAAAGTCCAGAGGAGCTGGGAGCCCTGGATGGCGTGCCGGGGCTGCCGGGGGACAGGGCCGTGCAGGTGAGAGAGCTGAGCCAGCAGTACCAGCGTCTGGAGTCCCAGCGGGGTGGGCTCTGCGCCCGGAGAGCCCGTCTCAGGAACAGGCAGGTAGGCGGCCTGCCCGCCCTCTTTCCTTCCCCATCCAGGACAACTCCTATGGAAAATAAACTATTGAAAATACTTGTATTTTTCAATACAAATATTGAAAGGCAGGCTTTCTGCCAATACGGCGATTAACTTCTTGTGTGTTTATATAGCTATCAGTGGCTACAAATATATTTACATTTTTTTTTTAAAGGATTCTGTTTCTTTTGGGGTCTAAGCATTTACCATAATCTTTAGATTTTGATTAATCCATTCAACAACTGTTTTGTCGAATGCCTGCTGTATACACAGGTATTTTAAAGATCGTGGTAGGTAGAAACGTCTAATAATCAGCTATAGTACATTCTAAAATTTATTCTATTGTAAATTATTGATTATAGAATATTAGAAATAACGAGGCGCCTGGCTGGCTCAGTCAGTGGAGCATGCAACTCTTGATCTTGGGGTTGTGAGTTTGAGGCCCATGTTGGGTGTAGAGAGGACTTAAAAAAATTTTTTTTTAAATCTAAAAAAAGAATATTCAGCTCATATCAATCCTTATATTTGGGAGTGATTTTTTCTTAATTTTTAAAAACTCCATGATTACATAAAAGGTAATATACCAAGAATGATTCAACACAGTTAAAATATAGTTTGTTTGGTTTTTTTTTTTTAAGATTTTTATTTCTTTTTTGAGAGAGACACAGCGAGAGAGGGAACACAAGCAGGGGGAGCGGGAGAGGGAGAAGCAGGCCTCCCGCTGAGCAGGGAGCCCTACGTGGGGCTCGATCCCAGGACACTGGGATCATGACCTGAGCCGAAGGCAGACGCTAAACGACTGAGCCACCCAGGCGCCCTAAACCACAGTTTTTAATATAATTTTCTAGGTATTTGTGGGTTGGATATGGTTGTGTAGGTATGTTCGGAAATGTAATTACTGTTGTAATATTATGGGGAGATGTGTTTAAAACAATCACATGGAAACAGATTCTTAGGACACATGCCATTTCAGCACAGGGGATGCCTGTGTGTCCCCTCGTTTCCACTTGGGGGCTTTGCTTTTCCATCTTTCACGGCACTGAATCAGCTGTAGTCCTTACCACCGGGTGCCGTCGATCCCCGTAAATAGCCTGTCAGCAAGGGCCCCGTGACTGAGGGGAGGCGGGACCCCGGAGCCACGCCAGAAACTCCTGAGAATGAATGCCTCACACGACAGCACACAGTGCCTCCTTCTGCTGAACTGCTCTGCTAGAGCCCACGGTAACACAACGTGCAGGTGACTTGTCTTGTTCCCCCAGGATCAGTGCAAAGAGAATCATCGGCTCCGACTGCAGTTGGCTGAAGACAGTAGGAAACATTTTCATCAGCATCATAGTATCCAGGTGGTAAGTGGTTGAAGAGAACATGTCTTGTTTGCATCACGTGACACACTGGCTTAAATCTGGACAGTGGAACTCCCCTGCCCTGGATGGGGGCAGGCTTGTTCCTGGGGAGCCTGCAGTCCAGCCCTGCAGCCTGCGGAGGGGGCACGGGAGTCAGGCGGGGGCAGGCGCCAGCGTCGGGTCACGGACCCTTTCTTTCTCAAGACTTCTACTTTGAGAAATGTACAAACATATGTTTCTTTAAATATAGAAAAGAGACAAGATGAAAGAAGAGGAGCAAAAGAAAAGAGAATGGATAAACCAGGAACGCAAAAAAACACTCCAGCGGTTGAGAGCATTTAAAGAGGTAAGTTCTAGAAATAGTCACCTCACCTGCATTTTCTGGAGAAATAAATGAAGATCACCCATGCTGGGAGAAGAGTGTCAAGTATTACGAACAGATTATTTGGAACACAAAATGTTCCCCAAACGCCATTATTTTTAGTGTAGAAATAAAAAACAAAAATATTAGAATATTTTTTAAAAGATTTTTATTTATTTGAGAGAGAGTGAGCGAGCACACACACACAACTGGAGGGAGGGGCAGAGGGAAAGGGTGGAGCGGCCCCCCGCTGAGCAGGGAGCCCGATGCGGGGCTCGATCCCAGGACCCTGAGATCACGACCTGAGCCGAAGGCAGACGCTTAACGACTGAGCCACCCAGGCGCCCCGAAAATATTAGAATATTAAGCAGTTTTTGACGCTGCTGTGCACCAGGGTTCTTGCTCTCCCCTCCTGCCCCAGTGGTGTGGACTCTGCCCACCGTGGTGTTGCCCAGCCAGAAAAATTGAGAACAGGTAAACTGGCCTCAACTTTAACTCGCTTTTTCCTCACTTGTAATAAAGAATTCTCTAAAATGCAGTCAAGAGAGCATAGTGACACAGTAAAGTGCTCTGTGAAAAGCTGAATAGGTTTAAAAGGAAAGTAAATAGCTACTTATTTAAAAACAGTGTTAAACATTGTTTAATATAAACGGATAAAACATAAATCCGTCCTCATCACACATCTACAACACACACCTTCACAAAGACCCAAGTCTGTAGCTGCCCCCAAAAGGAGAGCTCACCCGCACCCAGACAAAATTCTCAAATAAGGTACTGAAGGTGTGCTGGGATGCCAACAAGAAAAGGGACCACTGGAGTGATAAATCAGGACACACTGACTTCAACTTGTTTCTGATGTGCTTACTACTCTGATCATTAATGAGCACCTACTGTATACCGGCCCAGTGCTAACATGTACATTCATTCTCATTTACTTCTTAACCCTGCGGCCCCGAGCGGCTACACTTGGCTTAGGCTTATATGCCTTCTCCTACCCGAGCAGCACATCAGAATCAGCTGGGGAGCTTCTGAAAGTCACGAATGCCCAGACCGCACCTCTGGAAGTGGGAAGACCGAGGAGGAGGGATGCCGTGTAAAAACCAGATGAAAACCAAGCAAATGTGTGCAGGACGACCGGTCGGTCAGCTCTTACTGGATGGTGCTGGTGAATGGGGTGCAGTCAGGATGGAGGACGGATCTGGGGGTGCAAGGCCGGCTCTTTAGCCTCGAACTGGCTGATCAATGACCACTTTTCACATGTGGAGATGGGAGGCGTAGACTGATGGAGGGTGACCGGACCTACGCTCTCAACAGACTGGAACAGGGAGTGAAAATATCAAACCCACTGACCTCACGTTGGTGTAAAGTGCAGGTTTTTTGGTCCTTGGAGGTGCATCCTTCTCCAGAGGGTGGTGGACAGGGGTGCAGAGTGCGTGGGGTCTCAACGCAGGGGAAAGAAGCTTGAGCATTTAGTTCCCTTCAGCCTTCCACCAGTCACTGTGGTGAAGCTGCGGGAAAGCCCGTGCGTTTGTAAGATGCACAAACGGAAGCCGCTTCCGGAATGAGGGGGTCCCATGTTTGCCAAGAAGCGCCCCCTCACTGGGGACAAAGCCAACTCGAGCACATTTGGAAGGAAGGAAGTAGGAGCAGAACACCGGAAGTGAATCATGCGATACGTGATACTTGCTGAGCCCAGACAGGCTGTTTTTAAATATCTGAGGGGCTGCTAGGAAGTCAAGGGCTGAATTGGTCTTGGGTGAGCCCCGGGGAGACAGACTTCCCAGCAACGTAAGGCAGAACTCAACCGGCCAGAGTCACAGCGACTTGCAGCCGCAGGGATGCCAAGGAAGGGGTCCTGCGGGGTTGGGCATCCCTGCCATCAGGATGGTTGGGCGACCCCTGGAGTCTGGCCTGGAGTTTCCGGGACCCCGGTTCTGTCTAGGTCACATAGTCACTACATGATAGCGACTGACTGCATTGGTGAGGTCTGGGTCTTGCTGCCAGCGCTTTCCTGTTTGCCGTGGGAAGACTTAGAGAAATGCGGGAGGGAGACTGTGCAGGGGTCAGACCCCCCAGGAAGGCGAGGCAAGTGAAGTTTTTGGTATCCTAGCGCATATGAAAGTGATGTTTATACTATACTGTCATCTGTTAAGTGTGTAAAGCACCATGTACATACCTTCATTTAAAAGTACCTCACTGCTCAAAATGCAATCGTCTGAGCCTTCAGCTAGTGGTAGTCTTTCTGCCGGTGGAGGGTCTTGCCTCCAGGTCACTGGCGGCTCAGGGTGGTGGCCGCTGAAGGTGGGCTGTGGCCGTTTCCTAGAACAAGACCATGATGAAGTTGACTGTCTTACACGGGCACAGTTTGGGTGTCCCAAAACAGTTGTTCGTTGTTAAAGATTGTATTTATCTGGAGAGAGCACGAGAGCACAAGTTGTGGAGAGGGAGAAGCAGACTCCCCGCTGAGCAGGGAGCCCAATGCAGGGCTCGATCCCAGGACCCTGGGATCATGACCTGAGCCGAAGGCAGACACTTAACCAACTGAGCCACCCAGGCGCCCCTCCCAAAACAAATGTAATAGTAACATCAAAGATCACTGATCACATATCACCATAACAAACGTAATGATGAAAACATGTGAAATGTTGCAAGAATTGCCAAAATGTGATACAGAGACATGAAGTGAGCAAATGCTGTTGGAAAAATGGCCCCGATAGACTTGTCTGACACAGGGATGCCACATACCTTCAATTTATAAAAAAATGCAATATTTGCAAAGTGAACTAAAGCAAAGTGCAATAAGATAAGGTATGCCTGACTCTGTTTTATCATGAATTACACTTGCGGTATATTACTACTAAGTTTACATTAGTATTATCACATTACATACAGCCTCTGCCAGTTTTTTCCCACCTTAAATTACATTTTTGAAATGTATTCATGTTAATATATATAAGTCTAGGTCATTCTAATGGCTACGTAGTATTTACATTTTATGTGTTTCATTGGCTAGTTAATGCCTTCATTAGGGACCACCCTCCCACCACTCAAGATTCGTTTTTTTGGTAAGGTTATGTTTTTCTTTATCAAAGTTAATACCCGAGAGACCAGAATGTTTTAAATTTATATTTTTAGGGGCACCTGGGTGGCTCAGTCAGTTAAGCGTCTGCCTTCAGCTCAGGTCACGATCCTGGGGTGCTGGGATCCCTGCGTTGGGCTCTCTGCTCAGCGGGGAACCTGCTTCTCCCTCTGTCGCTCCCCCTGCTGTGCTCTCTAGACCTCTCAAATAAATAAAATTTAAAAAAAATAAATCTACATTTTTAAATTATAAAATCTACTCTAAACCTAAAAATAAGAGCAGAGACATGTTACACCTGTCACTTTGAGGTCCACTCGGGGGGAATTTTTCATACAGCTGTTGTTTTACATGGTTATAAATGTAACACTGTATCATCTGTATTTTTTAAGAATGTTTCACCAACTTTGTGTACTGTTTGATTTTTCGTTGCTTCCTAATATTTTAAATAGATTCACCATCATTTTCTCAGCTAACTTCCAACTGTTACTTCGAGTCTTATTTTTATACTAAAACTGAATGTTTTCATATATGTACATATTTTCATATATTTATTTTATTGCAGAGGAAGCATTATATATCAAAGGAATACTTATTCCCTAGGAATAGATTTAGGAGCAAGGGTGGCTGTCCAGAGTGAGAAGGAGCCACGTTGCAAATGAGAACCATCCATGCAGAGGCGGGTTGGCGTTTACTTACAGCACGTTTCCGCATTCTGGGCGTTCTGACGGTTTGCAGTGTGGCAAGTTTCTCACAGCAGTGTTTCCTTTTCAGAGATGTCCAGGTGGGTCTGTACTAAAGACCCCTTGCTCAGAACCTGCAGCTCCATGCCTGCCACGTGGGCCTCCCCCGCAGACCTCTCCGCCGGCCGCCGGAAGCCATCCGTCCTCTGGGGAGGCCCGAAGCGTGCCCCTCTCTGAAGTCAGTAATGCGCAAACCCCCGAGGATCCGCACGGCTCTGGAAATACTGTCCAGAGCTCTGTTGCTGTTGGTGATCAAACACACTGCAGATCTAGTGAGGAGGTGTCACCGCCGCCTCCCCCTCCCCC